GGTCCGAAATCCGCGAACTACAACCTAAGTTTTCAGTCGAACACTTGCCCTTCAACCATTTAACACAACTTGACGAAAAAACACGTTAACAGCGTAAGTACCATACTTCGTAGCAAAAATGCAACAGTAACAACGGTTACTTCCTGTCGCGCAGAGCCTGCTCGATATCTCGTACTTTTGCTGCTACCTTCTCAAACACAGCGTCACCCCTTTGAACCGCCTTGGCCTCCTTCCCATACAGCACAGTTAGGATATCTTTGGCCTCCTCACAGTTTTCGATCGCGAACTCGCACACAGAAGCGGCTAATGTCTTTAGCTCTGTTTTTGCCAGTTTCGACAGCTTGTCCTTTCCATCCCGTATGCGTTGATGGAAAGCCGTTATGGTCGACGACCCCCATGACATCAACAAATCAGCCCGAAAGGCCCCATACATTGGGTATATTTTCCTGTGAACAGTGAGTGAGACGAGAATCAACGCTTATTTTGTGGGAACTACGGAAACCGCGCTAGTGTCAATGCAAGATTTGCAGGTTATAAAAATTTACCGCACACAAGCCATCGTCTCCTGCATCATCTGCCAGCCTTCCTCAAAACGGTTCTCATCGTAGTACTTCTGCGGTACTTCCATGCCGCAGATGTAGCGGAGATGCGCATCCGGCTGCAGGATGCCGGAAGCGTCTATTTCCTGGCAGAAGTCCTTACATATGTTCCCGTGGTACGTCATCGTATAGTGCTGCCTAAGCCTTGTATTCCGTTTAATGAAACGACGGAACTGCTTCAACCGGTCACCGTTGGTGGCACCGCATTCCGAGCAGGCTGCATGAGCCCGGCTATCGCTGGGGATGTGATTGGTGCATCCCACCGTTATACAGCGTAGCGCATTAATTTCACCATCCCAGGAATCACCATACCATCTGACATAGCGCCGCTTTTAAAATATTTTGGCCAAAGATGCTGCCGACGAAATGTTTCCCGTGGTCACGGTGACCACGGGAATAATCATTAGTCATAGAAGCAGCCAAAAATACAAAAGGATATTGTAGTTACTGTTCAGTTTTGTACATACATATTCTTTGGTGCATCGACGACATGTACACGGATAGCCGTAACGCTGCTCAAATCGTTCGCGACGTACATCTCGTGTTATGCAGAATGGTTCCCGAATGTCGGTGTATCGTAGCTGTAAAAATCACAAAATGTATTATATTACAGCAAAATAAGTGCACCTTGAACACCTAAGGTTTCTTCAAAAGTGTTCAATGTAAGTGGCTGTTCAACATTCGCAGGAGGATATTATTTACGACCCGCGCCGGTTTCTAATCGAGCGTTCATTATTCTTAGTTGTTCAATTTCATAGAGTTTACTCTTACATTAAAAAGCGGCTATGATTTCCGTCTTGGACAGAGCGTAATCATCATCGTATCATCGTAGAGTAACCGGACCAATTTGCACAAATATCCGATTTGTGTTTTGTATTGCATGACCATACTGAGTTTTAAACAGAAGCAGCAGTAAACACAACTGCGACAGACTAAGACGCCTAGTGTGTGCCCACTGGGCCACTGCCGAAGTCATTCCGCCGAATGGAATGCCCGCAAATAAGAAAAACCCATTGTGAATCTTTATCGCTCAGTTATTTTTGCGTTTTCTGCATATACCGAAGTCGGTGTGTATTTCCGGTCTATATGTTTAGCTGGGGCGCGCGCAGCATGATTATCGTCCCCCGAAATTCGATGGTTGAACAGTTTTTAAAACATGGGATGCAACTTACATCTGCAATTCCGGTATATTCCGGAATGTCCTGAACAGCGTGTACAACGAGCTGGCGTCCGCGATAATGGAGCATCACATTGACGTCCCAGCAAACCGGCGTCATCCCTCGGGGCGGTGCCTGGGGATACACAGCAAAGCCAATTGGTGTTGTGTGCTCATCGGATATGGGAAGGATGTTGTAGCGGAGAACTTCGTAGTAAGCCATAAATTCCGTTGCGGGTAAGCCGTCTATCAGGCCGTTTCGAGACTTCATTGCGGATAATCTGAAAGCGACTGGTATGGACAAGATCTGGTTTACACAGACCAAAAAACATCTTACTGTGACTGCAGCTCCCAGTCAACTTCCGCTTGCGAGTGATTTGACGGCAGCATGAGGAAGAGATCTTTGGCCGATTTCCGACCCATTCCCGGGATGTCCATTATCGTGTTTATCTAAAGAAAAATGCGAATGACAAACAGCAAGTATTATCGAAATAAGATAATTATTAATTACATAAGTTGTCTATTCATCCTCTGGGTAGTTTCTGTTCGTAACGCGTTCGGCAGAACGGTACACTAAACTTTGTATTTTCGTTTATATCCATGGCTGTTATTTTATAGGCGTGAATTCGTAGATTTGCCATCAGAGACAATATAGTAAAAATATTATGTTATATTCATATATACATCGTCACTGGTCGAACCGCACCGCCATTAGTCACCGGAAGTGCGCGTGCAGGTATGCCGCGCATATTCCCGCGCGGTCATATTACATCATGCTGACGGCCTATTACATCACTATGCCGTCATGCGCCCCGCCACTGGATCCTCCCTACACCGGTCCCGCCCGCGATCGCCAAGAGCAACTCGACCGGGACGATATACAAAGCCCCCTCTACCACAGCACCAGATCAGTCCATTGCAAGCCTCCCCTGGCATAGCTAGCTTAGCATTGTTATAGTGATATATGATATATGTTGATTAAAGGTCACAGACATACGGGTGCGTTGTCTAATTACACTAGATAGGTACACATAGGTATCACATAAAGGTCATCGTCGACCTGCATAGGTATAGCACAGAGGCGCTTACAAGAGAGCTCTACATTGCGACAATATTATATTCAAAACCATGTACCAGCATGTACATTCGAAAGCGGCCCATAAAATTGTTTTAAAATGATAAAAAAATAGCGCCGTTCGATACTATGTTCTTGACTAAAATCCAAGCCTTCCAAGATCATTTACTGTTCTTCCATTATGTTCACCTTAATTTTATGGGCCAACTTGGAAATCATATGCACAGGGACGGGATGGTTGCCCGATTCGGTTTCACCCAGCAGTCCGCACTCCGTTCCCGCACAGGTACACACACCGGCGTTCTTCAGCATTCCGCATTCCAGTTTATGCTCCGTTTTCCAGTCAGCGGCCTATGTTAAATCAACCACACGATCAGAACATGCAGTATGACACACTGGCTTATACTGAAATCAACCGCCCGGGGCAACGGAGCGACTGAGTGATAGCACTCTCCCTCCAGCATAGTTATTGGTTAGAAGTTCAGATAGGACTCCTTTCAGGTCACTGTGCCCAATTTGTGCTATGTTACATCATAATAGTTCTGCACTTAAGTATGTAACATTAAAATTAATGATAACTGAAAAAATTAAATGGTCGCCGTACTTGACAGGCAGTGTTACAGTAGCGATGCAGTCGGCAGCCTGAACATGTCCGCAATCCCTGGCTTTTCTGGAAGCAATAAGCGCATCGCGTCCTGTAATCGTTGTTCTCCAAAACCCACACCAGCGGATCGCACATCATTACAAGATCACCAAAAAAATAACTGTGGTTGCCGTTGCTCGGCACAGCCTCCATTTATCTGCGATCACCGCGAAAAAATTGCTGAATAAAAAAAATTTTAGGAGAGCCAAGAATAAATAAAGGGTTGGAAGCGCGGAATGGCTAAAGATGTTTACAAAAATGACAGACGTGGTTGAAGTTTTAAATTTAATCTCAGCAACTGAGTCAAGAGCTCACAAGTGTAACTGTGTAAGTACTGTGGAGCCCAAAATAGGGCACATCTACGCGGATGTGCGGTGGCCGTTGCGCTCTTGGTCAGTTTGGCTCCCAGTACAATGAGAATCCGGCTTCATACAGCTAGAAAACAGGTGAGCCAAGCCGAATTTGCGTATGTGTTATGTAATTACAGTGTGAGACGAGGCTCACTGGCGTTCACGTCCGTGGCGCTAGGCGCTACGCCTTTGGATTGTGGCCTGTGTCGTGTCTCGCTTCTGATTGGCTTGTGTTTTGTTAGTGGGCGCGGCATAGCACGTGCTGCACAGCGTTGCACGCTGTTGAACGGGCTCCACGCTTTACGATCGAGCTGCGCCGATCAGTGTTGATTTTCTGTTGTCGGAATTTTCAATATTATTAAAAGTCAGCGATTACGGTGCGACGTTTTGTGTTTCCGCATAGCTCGCGACCCAGATCGTGTCGCTCACTCCACGGGATAGATTCCGTTTCTGTCTCCGTCTGTGGATCCATTCTGGATCTACCATTAGATGGTAGCAGAGCCGACAGCGGTTCTCTGATTTGATTTGTGTCAGGCAAAGTTGGCCTGTTATTTGATGTGGAACTCGACCAGTAAGGCACAGGTCCGTCCAACAGCAAAGCGCACACCACAAGCGGTGAACTGCCTCATCTGACGCGGATTTCCAGCTTCGGTTTTCGGTACGGTATCTTCAGCGAAGAACCGTGCTGTTGCCCCAGCTGTGCAAGAGTGCAAGATCTCAGTCGCCAGTGTTCCTCGGTGTAGAGTCTTCAGCGAAGACCTACACTGGTGTCATTGGTACTCGGCAAGGATTCAGCGAATCCTAAGCCGTGGGGCAGAAGCGCCGAAACGCCGAAAGGGGCGTACGGAAAAGACCGATCAGACTCCTCCAAACTGGAGTAGAGCGCCACCACTGTTGCTACGGCAGTCAGCCGGCACAGTAACTTGTTAAAAGCGTGCGGCACCACCGTTACGGTAAAACCGGCGGCAGCGCGGGAACGGATAGTGGAAGAAGAATCTGGATCATTTGGATCATTTCCCCGTGGAACGCGGAACGGACGGACGGTTAACAGGTAGAAAACCGTTAATAATTACGAGATTGGCTAGTTGGTAAAATTGGCAATTTTTATTGGTCCGTACTGAGCTGAGTGTAAAAATAGGCGGAGTTTTGCACACGGCGCGCATGTCTGGCCGTTGACCGTGACGTCAGGCAGATATAAATTTTTAGAGGAGCAACGTGATTGGTCAGTTATCTGAGCTGTGATTGGTTGAAATTTGAACTGAATATTTTGAGCTAGCGGACCAATCAGAAAGAAGTAAACAACCCGAATGGGGATTTTCCGCTGAACTCTAGCTGTAATGGGAAATTTGATTTGAGATAAGATAATTGAGACGGAAAGTGACCTTTTGAGTTCAGACAAAGGAAAAGTGACCTTTGACCAAAGTCGAGCTAGAAAGTGACCTTTGATATAATTGAGCTGGAAAGTGACCTTTAACTTGAAAATTGAGCTGGAAAGTGACCTTTTAACAAAAATCGAGTTGGAAAGTGACCTTTTGAGTTGAGTTGAGCTTGGAGGTGACCTTTAAGATCAGAACGTGACTTTTTACTTTGAAAAGTGACCTTTACTAAAAAGTTGGAATTGACCAAATTGACCTATTTAAGTGACCTTTAGGATCTGAAAGCGACAAACGGTGACCTTTATCGAAGTAAAATTGAAGTGAATAGTAGTACAGCGATATCAGCAGCTGTAGGAGTTCACTCATAAACGTGTTTTGATCTGTAAAACGGTTTCGAAGTTTTGTCTGAAAAGTGACCTTTAGGGCAAATCCCTCGAACTTTTTACCAAAAAGGTGACCTTTAAACGGGACTTAGTCGAAATTTTTCAACTGAAAAGTGACCTTTAATAAGGACTTAGAAAAATTTCGGAGGTACAAAGTGACCTTTAGGAAAATTGAATAAACCATACAATAACGTGGGTGTGAGAACAATTGACAGGAGCGTCCAAGTTATCCGATCAATATGGACAAAGAACAAGAGGAACCGACATCTACCAGCAGTCAGGGAAGCAGGAGCTCCCGAGGATCACAACAAAGCGCAGTTGATCCATATAAGAAGGAATACAAGTCGCTCGCGCGTCCAGTCGGACATGATAGACAGACCCGAGCGGCTGTGACCTTTGCAAGAAAAGACAGCAAAGGCAGTGATAGCACATACCAAGTGGCGCTTGGAGCTACACAGAATGAGGAGAGCTCCAGCGGTGACGGAAAGGATACTCCCGCATCTGCGGCGGGAAGTCAACCGATGATCCAGACAAAGGTCACTGGGGAGGAAATGTCCACAGAAAAAGGAGCGGAACCAGTCGGAGCATCACAGCTGGATGCTACCATTAGCGGAACGCATGAGCAGGATAAAAATGTGAACCTGGCTCAAGTGGAAGAGAGAAACACAAAGGTCACCGAAGAGGGATTGACTGAATTGGGATTGGATGACCTTTCATTGAATGAGAAAGCGGCAGATGATGACCTTTTTGCAACTCCAATGGTCTCAGATGAATCCAACGAGTCATACTTCACAGATGATGACGCAACGATGAATATGTCCTTTCAAACTGCAATGAAAGAGGCTGACCGAGCAGAAGAAGTGACCCCGTTTAAGGATATCCCCGAACATTTAATTGACCGGACACAGAATGGAAAGGTTATCAATGTACGACCACAGTCACCAAACAGTCCTACGTTAACTCTTAGGAGACGCGTAAGGGAGCTGGAAAATGAACTTGATGCCACTGAACGTCATGCGGACAAGCGGAAACAGGAGTATCGAGATAGATTATCGACACTCGAAACTCGCTTATTCGAATTGGAACAGCAACAGGGTGACCTCCAGAGCTCCGCAGACGGTTGGAAAGTCAAATACGAGCGACAAAAGGAAATTGCAGAAGAGTACCTAAAGATGGCAGATGACAGAGAAATGGAAGGTCATCTCGCCGTCAGTGACCTTAATGAAAGCATGTCAGAGGAATCAGCAGAAAGGTCACGGCACTTAGCGGAATTGAAGGACGAGTGTGACCAGTTGCGTCAAAAGGTCACTGAAGCTGAAACTAAACGGGACGAGTACGCGACCAAATTCGCAGAGATCACACAACGGCTGACAACACTGGCAACGGAGACGTTCAAACTAAGGAATGACTTGAAGCTACGGGAGGAGGCTGTCAGTACTCTGCAACTCGAATCGAAAGGTCACCAGGAACGGGCTGACGAAGCTGAAAAGTCGCGCAATGAGGCAATCAAGGCGATGCGAGAGGCAAGAGACATTACAGCCACTGAAGGAGCACGCCTGAAAGAAGAAATCAAAAGGTCAACCAGGAGAACGAAAAGGTCACAGAAGACATTGAAAAGGTCACTAAGGAAGGACTCAAATGGCAGAAGGAAGCACGGCGACTGGACACAATGGTCACAACATTGGAGCTGAAGGACAAAGAGTGGCAACAACAGGTCGCTCAAAAGAGTCAGGAGATTGCAAAGCTGAACACTGACCTCGTCGAGATGACCACCACAGCATTGGCAAAAGATGATGAGTTGATCGCAATCAAGGATCAGCTGAGATCAGCCGCTGGGCAGTATCAGCAACTCGAAAATGAAACGAGTGAGCTGGTCGAGCACATCAAAAAGATGGAACAGGAAAATGAAAAGGTCACCCAGCAGGAGTCTTTTAAATTGCACGAACACTTACGAAAGGTCAACCTGGAAAATTCTGATCTAAAGAGAAAGAGAAGAACTTCAACTGAGAACTAAACGATTGGAAGATGAGAACAAGGCACTCAAACGTCAGTCAAACATAAGGACGAACAACTCCTGCAATATGGAGTGAAGACGGCAACAGTGGAGTCTCCCCCGCCCAGTTACAGCAAGGCGCATGAAACGGGCACGGGCAAAAGTTTCCACTTTGAGATGCCGCTACGAACTGGTACCGGCAAAGGTAATGTCAAGAATGAAACGAATGGTGACAAGGGCAAAGATGACAAAGAGCCACCATCAGGAGGTTATCCGAGTCATGGTGATCCTTCACAGTTTCCTCCGCACATTGAAACGAACGTCTTCGTCAACGAAGGACGACGAGACGAACAATCCAGTCGACAGGAGCGCCCAAGGAAGTCCCGCTACGCAAAGGAAAGGCGCAATACAAACGACGATGAAAGTGGCGAAGAGGAAGAGGATCAGAAAGTGCAATCGGGATTTGCATTAGCAAAGGCGCTCAACTCCATGGCTCGAAAAACGCCACTCGTGACCTTTGATGGTAGTCGCGATACAGTGAATGGCTGGACGAGGCTGGTAAAAGACACCCAACGAACATATCAACTTACCGATGACCAGATTATGATCGAAATAGCCAGTGCGGTGAAAGGTCCTGCCAAAACCTGGTTTGAAAGTGAAAAGGACATTGCATCAGAGGACGGAATCGAGTATTCGGTAACAGAATGGATGGACAAATTCAAAGACGAATACGGTGACCGAGATGAAGAAGTCTTAGGCCTACGCGAGGCCTACGCAAGGAAATTCGAACTCGGAAAGGAATCGCTTGACCAGTACTATCAAGCGATGATGCGATTCAAAGCAAAGAGGATCATTACTGAGAAGCAGGCAGTGGGATTCTTAATTGAAGGATGCAGAGTGGATAACGAACTATATAAAGCTTTGCGTACACAAAAGTGCAGAACGCCAACTGACGTAAAGGACTTCTTCAGACATTGGGCTACGGGCGAAGATAAATATAAGGCACCTAAAGGTCAACGTAACCAAGATTACGCGACAATCCGGTCCGGCCAAGTTGAGAACATGCCACAACAAAGGATGGCGGCAGCACCAGTTCAACAGCCGGTTGAATACCGTGCAGAAACCCCTGTAAGAGAGGTCACGGAAAGAGTGACCTTTATCGATGGCCAGACGGGGCAGCCAATAACATACGCGATGGTGGCGGCGATACAAGCGGCGGCCCAAGTGAGGCCAGCACCCCAGAATGTGGCACCACCGAACGTAGCGACACCACAACAGGGAATGCCAAATGGAAACTTTGGCGGAAATGGATATGGAAACGGAAATTGGAATGGAGGTCAAAGGAACTTCCAGAATCAGGGACAAGGTCAAGGTCAAGGCAACTTTCAGCCAAATAGAGGAAACCAGAATAACTTCCAGCAGAACCAGGGGTCACGGACGGAATTCAAGTTTCAGATGATCGATGGATGGGTTGCAAATGGTGTGCAGATGTGCCAGTATTGTATGTACGGCAACCACCAAACCCAGGGATGCAAATTCGCCAACACACCACCGGAACAGAACCCGAACCTGTTTGCCTTTAACGAGTGGCAACGACTGCGCGGGCTCGGTGGTTGGCGCCAAGCAGTCGCAAACGGATATGACCTAATTGGCCAATGGTATCAGCACAAAGCAAACTTCCCAAATCAACAAGGAAACGGGAATAATGGAAATGGCGGTGGCCAGAATAGTGGCTACGGCCGTGGTGGCTTCGGCCGCGGCGGCTTCAGAGGAAGAAACAGAGGCTTCGGCCGCGGAAATTGGAATGGCGGCAACCGAGGCGGTGCAAATGGAGGCGGAAACTACCAACAGGGTGGTGGCCAAAATAATGGTGGTGGCCAGAATAATGGAGGCGGACAAAACTATGTCCCGGTAAATAACGACGGACAAGGAAATGCAAGGAAATGTGCAGGGCGCGCAACAAGGTGGGGCGCCGGTTCAGAGAAACAGGCAAGATCAGTAGGCACCGGTGAGCCTACTGATCTGACCCTAAACCACCGGATAAGAGGAAAGGTCACCACTGCAGAATGGTACTGTAGTGAACGTGACCACTACAGCAGCTATAAGGATGCCGTCAGCGCAAAAGAAAGTGGACCGGCTATATGGAAGCCGCAACCACAGCAAA